CTCTCAAGCAGGAAGGCCCTAGGGAAGGATTGCTGGTGTGTACTGTGGATAGAAGAGGAAGGAGTCATTTGAATGGGCAGGATGTGAGATTTGATTACAAGAATCTTATTTCAAACCAGGATGGTGAAACCTGACAAGGTAGAAGGCTGACTCATACCCACAAATGATTTCCATTACTCTCCAGGACCCTGCAGGGAATGTTGATAAGATGCCCAGTAACTTTCACCTTTAAACATTTTCTTCCATTTACATTCACTTCTTCAAACAAAGCAGCACAAGCAAGCAAGCCATATAAAACAGAAAAGATTCCAGATTGAAAGTAAGGTACTAAGAGCAGACATAGCCATTATATAGTTAATTAAATGTTATTAAAAATGTTCTAGTGTGATAATGGTACCTCATATTTGCTTAATAAACATTTTTTATATGTTCACTTTTGCTTTTTTCTGCTTTGATATCATACTTTTTAAAAATTGTATAAGTTTGGAACTTGGCTATGTGTGAGAAACCTAATGTTTTGTAAGTTGCATGTTTTAATTCTTCTTCTTTGGTTTTGAACTAAATAAGACTTTTGCCAGTTCTTTAGTGATATTTTTCATAGCATATACATAATAATTCTGGTGATAGCATTAGAATGAATAAGTAATTTGGGAAATAGTAGATATTGCTTTTTGTGTATTTGTTTTCCTTTCAAAAAACTTCTAATTTTAATTAAACATTATGATTTGAGTTTAATTCGCAGGTTCAAAGCATTGCCTAACCCATATGCTGAATAAGAATTTTAGAAGCATCTTGTTCTAAAGATGGGCCAAAAATCTGGCTGACAATGAATTTCTGGCCAGCACACACAGATGTCTGTAGGGAGTTTAGAAAACACCTGCTATTTCACCAGGGTCAGTTCAGGGGTATTTCAGGCTCTACTTGAAATCTTCAAGTGGAATGGGAACTGTAGGTTTCCAAGCTCATCAACCCAATAGCTTCATCTTCACAGATCCATGATTCTTAAACAACTTCCACTTTTGAGTTCATATTCAGCTTCCCACTAAGGGCAGAAAGGTCAAAGTAACATTTATTGTGGATCCAGAGTGCAGACTAGGGCACTGTTAAATATTCAGCTAAAGTCATGACTTTGTTGTGATTTAGAGGCAGCAGGGTGAAATATTTCTGAAAGTGCAGTGCAGAGAGAGGATAGCCACAGTATGATCAGATATTTGGGAGTAAGAAAGAGAAAACTGAGAGATTATCATAAAAAAAGAAAAAGGAAAAGAAATTCTTGGGATGTAGTTAACTTTTGGCTATATGAATGGGTAACCAAAAGTCGTGAATTTTCTTTGAAGTTCTGCTTACCATATCCTTTCTTGGCAAGTAGAATTCTACTTTATCTCGGACTGACCACTAGAGGACACTCCAAGTGGAGAATAAGAATCAGGATGGCGCCTCATGACTTCCTTCTGAACCTGTTAGCTCAGCTTCTGCTCTGTCACTGTTCTGTCTCTTGGGTCTTGATTCTTTATTTTTATTTATTTTTATTTTTTATTATTTATTAGTTACACACGCAGTACAATAATCTTGACATATTATACATTTGAATCAAATGGGGTATAATTTCTCATTTTTCTAGGTGTACAGGTTGCAGAATCACATACGTGACTGTATAACCAATGTGATTCTGCAACCTGGGTCTTGATTCTGAAAGTTTGTTTTTATTATTTGATTCTGAGAAGCTGCTTTTACTATTTAGTATGCCATCAAAAATCTGTTTTCAGGTTGAAACATAGCAAAAATAATAAAAACTCTTCAGCCACATTGTCACAGTGGGTGGAAGATAAACTACATTGCTCAGATTAGCATTCAACTTTGGTCAGATCAGCAGGTTGGGATGACTTTGATCATAGCATACAGGGTGGGATAAAAAAAAATCAAACAGAACAGTTGAAACGATAACTTAAACACAATTTCTGGGTGGAATCTTATTTTCTTTTGATAAAGTGGGAAATACCTTCATTGAAATACATTGTCACATGAATTGAGCGAGATCAGTAGAAGAAGGGGACCAGGTAAAGCAGGGAAGGAGGGGAGGGAGATGGGAAATACTGGGAAATGATATTGGCTGAATTATGTTATATTGTGTGCCTGTATGAATATGCAACAACAAATCCCACCATTATGCACAACTACAATGCAACAATAAAAATATTGAAAATAAATAAATGAGGAAAAAAGAAATACATTGTTGCTATATTTCAGACAGTTGTTATAATTTAAAACCTGTGTATTTGGAAATTATGGGGTGGAACTTGAATTTGGGGAAAAGTAAAATAGGATGTTTTTCTTGTTTATCAAGGGTAATTTGGAAATATCTTAGATGATAAGAAATAATTTCTTCAGGACAGAAAGTGAAGTTGAAATTGTGACCTCAGTTCTAATTTTCATGTAAATAGTAAATATTTCATCTAAATTACATAGAAGTAGATATGTAGACCTAATACAATTTCTGTTTTAAAATGTACTAGTTTACTTACATTTTTTTCTTAGTCTTTCTTCCTTTTTTTTGTTCTTGTATCTTTAGCTGGCCTTGAAATGACTTATTATTATAACAGGCAATTTCCCCACCTTTCTGTGTTTATATGTATATTTATAGGTTAAAATGCTTTTAGACTTAGTAAAGAAGAGATTATGCATTAATGGCAATGATAAATATGGATTTATGGAATTAAGTCAGGCTGTTTTAAAAAGGCAAGTAGAAGAAATGGTTATTGAAACCACTAATGGATAGCAGTATATCACAATAAGTGCTAAGTTGAAAAATACATAGGAGATTCACCAAGATTTTATATTTGAGACATTTCCTCTTTCTCAGCAGGTATTAGCTTTTAAATCTTTTCATATCTACTTAGATTTTATAGTTTCCTTTTGCTTTCTTTTTTCTTTTATCTCCTTCTTTTTTAGTTTGTTTGGAGGACAACATTATAGTGGCAAAATATCCAATATATTTTCAAATCCTTGTGGACCTCCTGTATAAAGATCTGGAATCAAGCTAAATGATTTCTGCATATCAAATTTTAAATATTAGAAATTTAGAGGTCTAAGCAGAGAATCATGATACATCCCTAAAATGTTACCTATAAACAATAAGAAGTAAGAAAGAACATTAAAATGCTTCATTTTCAACCATGTAGCCATTGAATATACTATTAAAATGTAAAATTTTTATAGACCTTTTCACTAGTATTAAATTTTGCTTCAGTTATGTATGATAGACTATTATTCGCTATTTTCGACAAGCAATTAATCTATCTGAAAACATTTTTGATTTTTGTGTTTTGTTTTAGGTGTTAGAAATTGAATCCAGGACCTCACACATGCTAAGCAAGCACTGTGCCACTGAACTACATCCCTAACCCTGAAAAACTATTTTTAAATTCATCAGATAATTAGGAAAGACAACTCATAACCTCATGCAATCAATCAACAATTTGCTGTTTGAAAAACTAAACTATGATTAAAAATAATTATATATCAAGCTATAAACCATCCATTTCTTAAGAAAATAGTTCTTTGAAAAATAATATCATTTGTTACTGCTGTATACTTTCTTGGTTTGATCATGAAGTGATTTTTCTCCATTCTCTAAAGTGACATTTTTTTCATAACCCACATCATCCTCAGCCTGGTTGTTGGACCAGGCAGCCCCATGAGACTGAGTTTGTACCTTAGTGCCTGGTGTTGAATATAGAGTGCTCAACTAGTATTTACTAAATGAATGAACAGTGAAATGATAGTCAAATTCAATGAGACAATATTTCTGAGTTTGGATTAGAAGTAGGTATTTCTAAAGTTTGATTTGCTTTTGTTTCAAAAGATCAAGTGGCTTCCTGCAGCCCTCTGCCTAATGTGCATGTCACATTGCATCACGAATAATGCATTCTCCTCTTTAGCCAAGGGGTGTGTATCTTATGGCCAGAATTCCAAATTGGCAAACATATGTGCTAAACATGGTCCATGCCAATTAGCTCAAGTCATTACCATTTGGCACGATCCACTGCTACATTAAGCAAACTGCATGACTATAAATTCACTTCTAGCTTTATTTACACAATTCCAAATATTAATAGAAAAAGCTTCTAATTAAACATACTTTCCAGTGATATATCAGAATGCCAGACTTGAAGCCAGATGACATGCTGAGGCAGGTCCCACTATTCACCAGTGACCTGTGTGAACTTGAGCAAAGAACAAAAACCTCTCTTGTCCTTGATTGGTAATTCAGAAGATTGTTGTGAGAGAAGAAACTATACATCCATAAGGCTTTTTGTTTTTTTTCACAACTCAACCCTCAATAAAACATAGTTGTATTATTGATTTTGCTTGGCTAGTGTCTACATGAAAGTAAGACAGTTAATAATAAGAAATTAATGGGAATAGACACTTGGCACATAGTCTTCTTGTTACCAAATATAGTCACATAAGGGATGCTTGCTTCAAAGCAGTTGGTTGTGCCAGAGTGAAGAAATTTCTGGTGAAATTGTTTAGAGACTAGTTAAGCCAACTGCAGGGATCCACTTAGCATATCATTCTTGTATATGTGGACCTACCTGAGAAGTATATTGATGCCTATTTTATCCTCTTATGGATGGTCTCAATCTTTGGGCAAAGTGCACTGTTGTTGAGAACCAGAAGAATCAGATCAGTCTTTCCTGGGACTGTGCTATTTTGAAGTCATTCAAATAGTTTACATATTGACATTTGTCTCTGGTCTCTGAGTTAGTTATCAATGAATGAACTCTCTCAGCACTAGACATTTTCAGTAGTCCTCAAAGTACCAATTCTATATTCCTGCCTATAATCTCTATTGAGGCAGTGCTTCTCAAACTGGGAATGCATTATCCGGGGGGATACAAAAGAAGTGTCCTACATTATAAGAATATTAATTTTGTTAGTTCACAAATAATACAAAACATCATTTTAAAATATTGAAACAAGTATTTCACAGAATAAAATGCAGCATTTACATGAATTTTAATGTAAAACTTAAAAGACTTTGAAAGAACTCTTGTCTGGTAGGCATATTTCCAGATCTTTCCAGGCATACATGTTCATTCTCTGAGTTAGGTGCAGTTCATGGAAGAGGTTTAGAAAGCACTGCACAGATGCATCTTGGGAACCCTCTGTCACCAAACTGTCTCCCTGTGGAATACCAAATTCAAAGATTTTTTAAAGAGGAAAATTTTCTATTTTTCCTAAAGAAAGACTATTGGCCCAGAGGAACTAGGATGAATTGAAGGATAAACTTTCCATGGGATATTTTAGAAAATTCTTTAAAACTTAAACCAATGAAAAGGAAACAAAGACACTTCCTCCACTTAGATTGAAGGGACAAGAGTTTTTAGGGAAAACACTTCCATGAGCCTTGTCCTCGACTAGGCAAGGCTACTGATGTTAGGAATTCTGGAGCAGACACATGAATAGTGAGAACTTAGTCAATTGTCAGGACTACAAGATAAGTCCACTGTGCAGTGAAATTAATTTAAAAAATTGAGATATATCAGTAACAGACATCAGACAATAACTGCTTCATGAGGCTATATAAATAAAATGATTTTCATAACTTACTTGCTATTCATCTAATAGCCAATAAAACTGTTTGACTTTGAAAAACTATATATAGAAAATTCAAACACTCTAGCTTTACAAAAAATGATCAATGTTTAGTTTTAGACACTGAAATAAGTATGAGTAATGTAAATATCAATGATAATGACCATAAACTCTTACAGGTTATGTTTTGAAACATAAGAAACAGAAATTCAAAGTACAGTGAAAACAAAATGTTTTAAATAATTATTTTTAGCAGCAGGGCTGCTTAGATTTCAACTAAAGATCAAAGCTTGTTTTCTTATCTGAGATTTAATGACCAGATTTTGTTAATAAAGAAATGTTAAAGCCTGAAGCTAGGTTTTAATATTTGGGCTCTTTTTTTTCTCCCTAAGTTTTTTCTTTCTTTAACAACTAGAATAAAATATAGAATGCTTTTTCCCCCCCTTTACACAATAAGCTGTGCTTTTAATTTGGCTCATCATTTTCCTATTTCCCTGAAATTTATACCCACAGGTGCAAAATGTATTTTGCTGAAGCAAAACCTGGACATTCATGGGAGACAAAGGAATAATTCATTTGAAGTTTTAAGGGAGTTTGACATCATTTTTTTTCTTGGTTTTCATTTGGGCAAGACTGAGACCCAAAGAGATTATGGAGGTTTATACAGGATCGCACATCTGGTCACTGCACATCTGTGATCAGAGCCTCGATTCCTGTGAAGTAAGGTAGATTGGAATGACCGGGCTCCAGGACAGACGTTCCCAACAGGGAACAGCCTGCCTGTGCCTTAGTGCCTCTGGATTTCACCATTCTCGGTAGAAAATGCTGGAAGTGGTTTTCATCAAGGTTACCACTCCCAAGGAGATGGATCTGGAAACCTGATGAAGGTAGTTGCTGAAGGAGTTTCTGATGAAAGTAGTTACTGAAGGGGTTGCTGCCATCTGTGGCTTGGGCAGAATTCCTATCCTGCAAAAGAGAAAAACTTCCCAAACCATTACAGAGAAACACTCAGTGACCCATTTCTAGGCTTGGGCTCTTTCCTTTGTAACTCATGTTGAAACAAACTTTCTCTCTGTAATGGGTGGCAGTCTTGTTTAAATGGCTCTGCTTTTAGTTTTTCAAAAGTCATTTTCTGGAATTTCCATTTTGGCATCTCTACATTATTATTTATAGATCTTTAGTTTGAAAAGTTTATATTGAATATAAGAGAAAAATGTAGTCAGGTTGAGATGGACAAAATAGTTTTTTTAAAAAATCCAGTTTCCAAATACGGAATGCCAATTTTTAAAAAAAGTTTTGTTGTATGATATAACCCTTTATGTATTTTTCAGGATTTAAAAAAAATGCATTTCTCTAATAGGCTATGGCATGATGCATAACCTATTCGCAAAATTTCAAGCTTCCATTCCAAATATTGTTATACCTGGTCATTAAATCTTGCTGATTTCCATGATTTATAAATAAAATCACAAATGCTACAACTAAGCAAAAGCAAAAAAGAAAAACATACCCTATGGATTATAGCACAAATAAATAAAAATACTGTATTCCTTTAAATGAATGTTCTTATAAGAGCTTTATAACCCAAAGCAAGATATGAGAGATGGTTTAAGAAGAGGTTGCAGTTTTGCAACCAAAGTCTGTATAGCTCCTCCAGGCAGTAGCTGTGAAGGAAATACCTGCGTCTCAAAGACTTGTTTCCACATGTTCTTGACACTTCTGCATCCAGGCCCCGTTATTTACAACGTTATGCATTTTTGCAAGCTCAAAGCACCTTATTCTTCATAATTATGAATGCATGCAGTGACATTTCATCCTTTCATGTGCAAATTCTAAAATTCATTGTAACATAAAAGTTAAAACTTGAAAATCTGCCTACAATTTGAAATGAAAGGATCAAAAATGTCAGACATTGCAGAGGAACTGGTTCCTAACAGAGCTCTCTTTATTGGTTTACTGTTCTTCAGTTGTTTTTGTTTGTTACAAAATGCAGTCTTGACTCTTTATTTAAACAGTACTTAAACTAAACTGTTCATGCCATGCAAAAAATAACATTTTATGCACTTTTTTTTGGGGGGGGGATAGGGGCTTCCCATGATTTAGTTCACAGGCATTATTAACCGTGTTTTAAGAAACAAGTTTTTTTTTTTTTAAATTATTGCTTTTGTAACTAGTCACATGCTGGTTTCACGTGTGGGACAATAACCTGTGTCGCCTGGGTTGGAATGAATTTCTGGGGCAAACAAGTGGTTTTCCATCTTGCACCCTTCCTGACTACTCTCCTTTTTGACTTCACCCACAGCGTGACAAATGTCTTGCCTACAGTTGTGACTCGTGTTCTGAGGGGAGGAAGAGCCCACACAGCCCTCTTCTCTCAAAGGGTCTCTCCCATCACTAGGCTTATCTGCAAAGCAGTTGGGGCTAGAGACCGCTTGCATGTCCGGCCTGGCCCCTTGGAGCTCCAAGAAGTCTTCGTCTTCTCCAGTATCTATTTCAGTGAAGCTTCTCCTCTCCCTCGAAGAGAAAGCAAATAGTTTCTGTTTGGGAAACCGAGGGGACAGCCCTTTGGAAGGTCCCTGACAGTGCGCTGAAACATCAGCACCCAGCAAGGGTCTGTCTCCCTGGGGGAGGGTTTCTTCCAGGAGGATGGTACTGATGTGCTGCGGGGTGGTAAGAGAAAAGTCAGCTGTGGTTACCGGCAGTGGCCTGGCTGTGCTGGGTGGAGTCTGGGGAGCACTGCCTCTGTTTTCCTGAAAGTTCACTTTGAGGGATCTGGACTTTAATGGGTTGCTCCCTTTCAGCGAGCTCTTAGGGCTGTCAGTGGCACTGTCGGACAGCACAGGACCATGTAGCCCACACTGGGCACCACTGGCATCAAGGTTCACAGTTATATCGATTGGGGCATATTCCAGGGTGGCATCCCTGGCATCACGCCCTTTCTCTCTGCTGAGTGTTAGAAATGGGGGGCCTCGGGCTCTTTGGTGCTCATCTATCCCTGGGAGGTCAGTGGGGAACTTCATCTGCAAGTGAGATGCAGAGGGTGGTGGCAGGGGTGATCTCTCTGTCTCTGTGAAGTCAGTGGCACAGCTGGTGAAGCTGTCGATGCTGGAGGTGCTCTTCATGTCCACAATGACCTCGGTCTGCGCCACGGCCAGCTGCTCCTGTGGGTAGACCACTTCTTCCATTTCTATCTCTTCTTCATACCCAGATGGCCTCTCAGGCTGTTCCTGGCAGTCTGGGTTCGGGTGAGAATGAGGCTGTGTCTTGGTGATTTCATTATACAGCATCTCCAGTTTCTGGGCACTCAGATGCTGTGGGCTGGAGGAAGAAGTGTTGTTCAGCTGCTCGTGGGAGTCTTTTTGGCTAACCTCCTGGTACTTATTCTCATAAGATTTGTTGGAGCTTGTTTCTGACAGAGCCTTCCTGGCCCACTTCCACCGGCTTGGGGACAGGTGATTATCATCAGCCGAGTCCTTTGTATTGGCCGACTCTCCAGCCTTCTCAACAGCCACGTCTATCAGTTCCATACTTCGAGCGAAGGCATCTTTTAAGTTCATAGAAACAATGCTTCCATTCCTTTTGGCCCGCTCAAGAGCCTCTCTCCTTTTAATGGCCTTCTCCTGACGTTTCTGCTCTTTATAAAACTCAGAAAAATTGTTCACAATGATTGGGATGGGAAGGGCAATGACCAGAACCCCAGCAATACAGCAGAGGCCTCCCACAATTTTCCCTAGTAATGTTTTAGGGTAAATGTCACCGTAGCCCACGGTGGTCATGGTGATGGTGGCCCACCAAAATGATGCAGGAATACTGGTGAACTTGGTAGCATCTTCATCCTTCTCAGCGAAAAATACCAAGCTGGAAAATATCATTATCCCCATGGCCAGAAATAATATCAACAAGCCCAGCTCATTGTAACTCCGTCTGAGGGTGAACCCCAGAGACTGCAGGCCCGTTGAATGTCTGGCGAGTTTCAGGATCCGAAGGATGCGCATGATTCGGAAGATCTGGACCACACGCCTCACGTTTTGGAACTGCAGCACACTCTTGTTGGACTCTGTGAGGAAAATGGTGACATAGTATGGTAAGATAGCCAGCAAGTCAATGACATTCAGTGGGCCTTTAAAGAACTTCCATTTATTTGGTGAGGATAGGAACCGTAAAAGGTACTCCATGGTAAACCAAGCAATACACACAGCCTCCACGTGTGCCAACTTGCGGTTGTCGGTGGGTTGTCCAAATTCATCATTTTCCTGCAGCTCTGGAAGTGTGTTGAGAGACAAAGCAATGGTGGAAAGTACGATAAACAGGATAGACACGATGGCCAAGATCTGGAAAAGAGGAGAAAGGTCAAGTTAGTAAGTCCTCTTGGTCGCTTAGGTGGCTGGGCAATCTGTGGATCTGTGGTTCTCTAAATGATATGGAATGCTCCAAGTTATTCCAATAAGGATTTAAGAAGATAAACTTTTCACCCTAAAGTTCTCTAATGAATATAAACACATTCACTCTTTATGAGTTCATTTCACTTAAAAGCCGAATGCACAGCTGGGAGCAGTGGCTGCACACCTGTAATCCCAGCAACCTGGAGGCCAAGGCAGCAGTATCAAAAGTTTGAGGCCAGCCTGGGCAAATTAGCAAGCCACTATCTTAAAATAAAAAATTTTAAAAAGGAGGTGGCTTGGGTGCAGTTCAGAGGTAAAGTGCCTCTGGGTTCAATTCCCAGTTTTTTTTTTTTTTTTTTTTAAAGAGCCTAATGTACATTTAAATTCTAGGACCTAATTAATTTGAACAAAGTCAAGTCCCCTTTCCATGCCATTGTTCTTAGGCACAGTTGTGTGGGTTTTCCACCATTGGATGTGGGCCCCATATGGCTAGAACAGTATTTTTTTTTTAAACAATCATCTTTTCTTTCTTAGCTAGCTGTAATTTTTCTCTCTTAACCATCCTGTTGTTTCCTTAAGTGAATTGTCTTACATACTATATAAGCTAAACAGAATTCATGATTGCTATAAGTTTTATTACATAACTAAGAATATAAATGCAGAACATAAAAGTGAAGAGAGAATATGGCACTCTGTTTGACACTACTTCTCCTAAGAACAAATACTTCTTGTGTGTAGTAAGTTTTGACATTGGAATCAATGTCAGGATAGCCTTTGCTCTGGGATGTGTGCACTCTGGGCCAACATTGTCTGGGAAAGGAACATTATGAGTTATTATGGTTTGGACATAGGTGTTCCCCTCAAAAGTTTAGGTGTTAAGACAGGAGTGTTCAAGGCTGAAATGTTTGGATTATGAGAGCTGTAACCTAATTGATGAATTATTCCATCTCATGAATTAATAATTTCAATGGACTACTCTATTGGGTGGTTGGCAGGTGGGGTGTGCTGGAGGAGGTGGGTCACTGGGGCACGCCCTTGGGGATTGCATCTTGTCCTCTTTGCTCCTTCTTCTCGGTCTGCTTCCTTGTCAGTACAAGCTAAGTAACTTTCCTGCCTTGTGACCTTCCACCATGTTGTTCTGTTTCACCTCAGGCCTAGAGCAATGGAACTGGCCAACTATGGACTGAATCTCTGAAACATAAACCCCAGATAAACTTTTCCTTCTCTTGTCAGGTCTTTTGGTTATAGCAACAAAAAGTTGACCTAACATGTAAGCTAAGTTCAGTCAGGCAAGATAAAGAGCTTGAAGAATGATCATGATGATAGTGCAAGGCAGATGTTCTAGGCAGAAAAGATAGTAGCACCATGTCGGGCTTGGGAGGAAAGAGGCAGAGCTCAGAAAGAAGAAAGAAGAGGATCAAATGACTGGGTTTTAGAGTCAAGAACTCTGAACTCTGTCCCTGACTTTCACTGTTTGACCTTGGGCAAATTATTTAATATTATCTATCTCAGATTGCAAATACAGTGAGTGAAGGCAATAATCATAGTCACTTCATGATTGCTGTAAAGATTATAGAATATACAGATGTTGCTACATATATAAAAATACTCATAATTGTTAGAAGCTGAAATGTCCCCAAAACAAGTTATGTAGAAAATCTGTAAAATTATACATTATATAGGCAACCCAAGAAGGGATTTCCTCCCTATAACTCAATGTTCTAGATTTATGGGGTAAACTAGGAAGATTAATGTTTGAAGGCAATGTAAAGAAGATTTTGTTTAGTAAAGGATGCACATTTGGAATATAGTTCTTGGTAGAATAGGAAATCTCTCTTACTTAGGTCAGTTCTGGCTTGGTTTCTTCTGACTTTTGGCCATGACCTTGGTAGGTGTCATTGGTCTTAAGTATTATAGGTAGCTTTGAGAAAAAATATACTGACAGTGAGTGTTTCATTTAGAGAGTCAGCGTCTAGTAAACATTTGAAAGGACAATGATTAATATTCTGAAACCACAACTCTACACATCAGATTGAAAAAAAAATTAGTTTACTTCAGAACTTCTTTCTCTATTTCTTTTGCTTTATCCTCTTAAATTTCTCTACTTCCAGACAATTTTCCTTTCCCTTCCTCCTTTCTCATCTTAGGCTTCCGATGCCTTTCATTGTTTGTTTGCTTTTTTTCTTCCTATTCTTTTGGCTCCCATCTTTCCTCTTAAATAGATAAAGAAAACCATAATTTTACATATTTCAGAATGGGTCACAGACATTAAATCAAGACTTAGGTCTCTTTAACTTAAAGAAAAATGCTTTATTATTAGTGTTTGTGGTTTTTTTTCCCTTAGAAATAGGTTAAGCATTTTTTTTTCCTGAATATACTTCAGAATTTCCATTAAAAAGGTGGGTAAGTGAATAACAGTAGAAGAAGGTCATCTACTCTAAGAGATGGTGAAAGCTGAAGTTAGAAACTCCCTCAAGAAGGTCTATTTAAATAAACCCCTAGATAATGGGATTCAGATGGTTTATTAAAGGCACCCTGGGCATGCTCACCTTGCATCTCTTCCTTCAGAGGCCAATGGCAGACATCGCCTACAATACTCCATCACTAAAATGTGCCTGAGGGGAAGCATTAGTGAGATCCCATCCATTTACATCCTCTTACTGTGAGGAACCAGGGCAGCCATGCATTTTCTAGGTGGTCTCACTGTTACTAATATTCCTTTAGACACTTTGAGTATTGGATTTTCACCATCATTCTTATACTGATACTCCCTAGATTTTCCACATCTAAATCCATTCCCTTGCCCATTTGGGATGCATTTTACTGATGTTTATTCTTTAAAGAGAAATTAGAAAAGCAGAAATGCAATTGAATTCGCTCCACATTCTATTATTTTCCAACCTGCTTTCCTCCTCAGGAGATCCAACCTAAGGCCTTGTGTTTAATAGGCAAGTGCTCTACAACTGCAACTGCGTCATACCCCCAGCCCCCACATTTCAATCTTTAGGACAAAGCGAAAAATGAAAAGTCCAAAGTGGGCCTTCAGTTTTTTTTTTTTTAATTCCCAATCAGTGCTAGATTTGTAGGCCATTTTATTTCTTCAATTAATTTTTTTGGGAAAAAACCACAAAACGTTCTATAATATTAATGTAGTCCATAGCCTAGCTGATTACAGTTTAACAAACATGGCTACCCTTAACCCTTGGAAATAAGCAAACACACAAGATGATTGGGAGTACATTCTTGAAGAAAAATAATTACTGAAGGAAAAAACACTCCAGCCCTAAACCATCCCACATTCATATTAAGGAAATTATAAGGCAATGAAATACATTATTTTCTCCTGGTGAAATTCACCCTATCAAAACCCATTTGCTCTCAATCTAGAGGAATGGTTTATTTTAAATATCTTCTGAAGCTTGGAGTTCTC